TAGGAGCAGTTATAAGGTAAGCTAACCCGTCACTCTGCAAGAAAAATAGGCAGGTCAGCTCTCGTTGCACCAGGTGCCAGAATTTCTTCTATACACAACTCGCGCCTTCTATAGGATACTGTGATTCTTCATCATATACCTTCTATCATTCTTTATATTGAATTTGTCTATATTTGTTAGTAAAGACTTGAAGAGCAAACCAATCCAAGCAAAGGATGATCTTTTCCCAAAAAGTCTTTGCTAAACTATTGTGTACTAAACTATTCCGTGGACCACGCGTTGTACGAGTATACTAAGGACTGAACTATAGAATGAATATGAGAAACTAAACAAAAAACCATGCACTGGTGAAAGATATGGATTTTTGATCGTGATTCGTATACAATTCGCGCGGTCCCACGTGGCCTACAAAGCGCGCATTAAATGCGTATCACGCTGTCGTCAATGTGTTAATTTGATGCCGTAGTACACAGTTTCTAAAAAAAGTTGGCAACTTTCCTTTAGCAAACGCGTACCATAACAACCATAGAGCAACTAAATAGTTGACACAGGCAAAATCTATGGCCTGATAGGCCGGACTAGATTCGATGCTGTATGTGGAATGAATCCCATCTCCAGTCTTGTTCGCTGCGAGAGATGGGGTATGTCAGTGTGGCTGGGTCTGACGCGACGCCGGCCCCGTTCTCCACCAACGCTGAAGCAGGTAAACGACAAGAAATGCTGGAGAACGGGAGTTCCACTTCAAACCCTTGCTCTTGACGCGTCCCATCATCCACAGCGGCCAAGACTGTCTCCTCTTTCAGATCGTCGCCCGACAAAAAGGACACTCATGGAGGCGCTGCATGCAGAAAACACAACGGGTGCGGATATTTTTATAGATATTATTGACCCTTATCGAAAAGAAGCCGAGGTGTTGTTACAGCAGCGCAAGGCACATTTCCTGAATACGGAATCCCAAGGAAAGAACCTCCATTGTCACTTCTTCCTCAGGCGCTTTCATAGTAAAGAAGACCTGGACCGGTTACACAAAGGAAAGCGCTTTCGGAAAGTGCTATCGATTGCTAGCGAGGCCTACTCTTGTGATGTATGTGGACTATCCTATGGCTCAAAGAATGACCTCGCAAGAACATAATTAGAGCAAGGGTCACAGTAACGACCAAGATTTGTTAACTGCACTTAGATATATATCCTGCGCACTAGGTTCAGAAAAAAAATTTCCAGAAAAGCGCGTCAAATATAGTGTGAGTCCGCGGCCATTCTGTTGCATTTCACTTGACGCCTTTAATACTTCTGTGTGTCACTTCTCCCAGCTGAACAATCTTCCTTGTAAATATCAAATACTTAGTTTTGTTAGTGACCATAGAAAATCCCCAGACATGGAGAGCTCGATAATCTTGCTCATTTCTTCCTCATGGAGGTTTTGAAGCAGTCTGTAATATTGCACTGGTTCGAAAGTTCCTGTACTATTAGTAATTTTCATATGATGTTATTATGAGTGTTTTTTCTTATTCCTGTTATTCTCTTTTACCCTATTACTCTTTTGCTTCGTGATCCTTAGCGAAAAGATAGGAGTATTATCCCTGTACATGA